ACATATATATATATATATATATATATATATATATATATATATATATATATATATTCACAATGGTAAAATACTTAAACCCAGGGTTGAAAAACTGGCTCTAAAACATTTTGAAAAAAGCTGTTAGAACTTCAGTAGATTAATCATGTAAGGAATAGCTTAGTAATACATCTATACGTTTTTACAAAAAAACAAAAGCCAAACTATTTTAAATATATTTAGTGCCAGTTTTTCAATCCGAGATAAAATTTTATCCAGGATAAAATTATTATTGCCAGTATATCTATAAACATGAAATATATAGATATACATTGGCAACAGATAAAATTTTATCTTGGATTGAAAAACTGGCCCTTAATTACAAATTACAATAAAAAATATGATTTGATATTCTATTCATTTAGCAAACTATATTTAGATTGCTCAAGAATAAACTGCTTCACCATCATATTAATTTGCCACTATAATAATAATGAAAACAACAGTTAATAACCACAATTTTATAATACCAAAAAATAGATTTATTTTTTCATTTGACATCTACGACACTAACGGTATCATTTTTTCCATAAAATCTTGTAAAATTTAAAAGTTAAACGGGGTGAAAAATTAACTCATCCCGGATTCGTTGTAAATATAACCAATATATGTTATATTTTTTTCATATGCTGTAATATTAATGGATATGATGTTTTTGTTAATCAATTTTTATCTGTATCATAACTAATATATTTAATAAAGTAAAAAATTATTAAGTATTGCAGTAATGGGATAATATACAGAGGTGTAAAACTAAAAACATAATTGCGTTGAGGTTAGTAGGTTTAATAATACACAGTGTCACAACACAGTGATTTTTCTTTTATTTCCAGATCAGAACCTTTAGCCTGAGGATTAAGGCTACATTTCAACGGTAGACGTGTGCACATTGCACATACGCGCTATAGTAACAGCGAATACCACTTGAATTAATTAAAAATATCAAATAATTGGCAAATTAAATAAAATTTATGATCGAAAAATCAGCAATAATGATAGAACAAATAAAATAATTAGTAAAAATTTATTAATTTTAATTTATGGAACATATTAATTCTAATAAATTTATAGAACAGGGGATTAAGCTAAGGAAAAATACTTGCTTAATAATTTATAATTAATTAAAGACGAATAAAAAATTTATAATGATAAATTTAGCAGATATTTAATAATTTTTTTTAACAAATAAATTATGGCAAAAAAAAAATATAAAAAAATTGACATTTAGAAATTTTTAAAAATTAAAAATGCAATTTTTTAAAAATAATTTTTTGGAGCAAATTTTTTTGTTAGAAAAAATTAAAAAATTCTTTGGTGACTGCTAACTTTAATGTCATAAAAAATTTTAATAATCAAACGACAAAAATCAAACAACTAACGAACAATTAAAAATAAAAATATTTTAAATATCTATAAAAAAAATCAAAATTCAAATGGAGCCAAATTCGTGAACTGTCTAAGGGCCAGTTTTTCAATCCGAGATAAAATTTTATCCGAGATAAAAGTACTGCCATTATGATAAAAAAAATGAATAATTCAGCACAGTGATATTGCCTACGAGTAATTCTCCTTGAACTCAGTCACTTATTTTGAATTAAAATAAATAAACATTAGCCAAATGTCACAGAAATATTCATCTCCAACTGTGATAAGTTCCTGATTGTAAATAAATAAAATAAAAATTAGGAAAACGGATGACCCTGAAGGAGATCCCTGTAACTTCCCGCTAATTCCATACCTAAGCGCTTGAAACTGCACTTATATAATGTTGTTGAGCTCTTCAAGCTGCAAATTACAATTTATGTGTTATTTTGAGCTTTATGAGCTCAAAGAGGTAGCTGTTCTATGCTTTTGAGCCCTTCGAGCTTATATCTTACGTTTGACATATCTATTATTAATTTATAATTGTGTTAATTAATTTAAAATAATTTAAATGACACAATAAGAGGTTATTATTATTTTTATGATATATTTATTTATTTTTATTTAAATAAACGACCAAATTCATGGAGAACTAATTGAGAGCAATATCACGTCGTTGAATTATTTATTTTTTTTTTTATTTTATTGGCGGTACTTTTATCTCGGATAAAATTTTATCCCGGATTGAAAAACTGGCCCTAAGTTCGACCGAACATACGCATAGTGTCCCCATCCCCGAAATGTCACTTATTATGTGTAAACCAGCCCCGACGATTATTCGAGGTTAAGGCGATGAAACAAATATATATTACATTACACAATAGAAATAACCGTTATTATTTGTAGCTGTCATATTTAAGAGTAAATAAATATTATTTAATGAATTTTTAATGTATCCTCATTTAAGATATAATATGAAAATATGCGATTTTATAAGTTTTTGTGAAAATACAAATTTTTTAAAATTTTGTGCTCCAAATAGTTTTTGGGATAAAAGTTCTTACATGAAATTTTGTTCAATTAATGTTTTTTTTTTTCTTATTATTTACGCCTGGTTAAAAAAAAAAGTATTGAGACAAAGAAAAAAGTTTTGAAAAGTATTGGTTTTTTAGTCAATCCAATACTTTTTTCTTTGTCTCAATACTTTTTTTTTATTTACAACAAATATTGGTGATTTGCCATTATGGATATTATTGATATTGATTCTAATGCTGTGGATGTAAAATGTTACATTTAATAATTTTAATTTGTTGCACAATTTTTTTTTCTAAATACTTATCAGTTGAAGTTATAGTGAAAGTATTCATCGCATGTTGTTTTAGTTTTCAAGTAAATGACACTTTAGTTTTCAAGTAAATAAATTAAAAAAAAAAAAAAATTTATAATACATATGCAATGTTTTAAAAGTTTTTGTGTACTTTGTACAAAATGTTAAATATACGTTATAACATAAACAGAAATTTTATTTTTTTAAATATTATTTAGTCTTGAGCAAGTAATTAATTTAATACTTGACTACTTACACCAAATCAATTTAAAATTTGCTTTTATGATTTTTTCAGTGAAAACAGCAACAATGAATTGATAATTACAAAATGATAGATTATTAATTAAGGAATTATAAATTAAAACTGGTCAACATTGAAATAATGTTGTTTAAACAAAGAATGGAAGTAAAAAAATTGTCTGGAAATCAGTTGGACTTTAAAACATATAATAGTCCAGATGCACTTTGCAGTAAGTTTACATATCACTTATTAAGATCTCGAATTGATTATTGACAAACTTATTTATAATTTTCAGATAATCTTCCAAACATGATCGTTTTACGGACATATTTTGGGTATATCACCAAATACATCAAGAGATATCGAGAACATTTTACACAGACCATGAATTTCTTGGTATTTTTATATTTTATAAAGAATTTAACCAAGCTCTTGAGATGGTTTTATATCCACATGTTAACTAATTTACGTTTTGATTCTAATTTTACTTTTAAAAGAAGAATTATTTTAAAACTTATCTTTCAATACAATTTGCGTAAATGTCTGTATTTTAATTTATACCCGCAATTCGAAATAAGAATATTCTTATTATTTTGTTTTATTTTTTAGGACTTTATTATGTGACCAAATAATGGTAGGAAGAAGGATTAAAAAATTTGAATATCAACTTGAGCATTAATCAAAATTACCTAAGTATTTAGGAATTATAATTTCGAAAAATGAATTTTCACTGTTGATTCGTGAACAGCCAGCAATTTAATGGCTTTCTTAATTATTCAAATCTTTAAGGTAACAATAATTAATGTTATTCATTAATCATGGAAATTTTTAACTTAAAGTTAAAAGTTTATTTTATTTATATCATTAATATGTCACAATATATAGTTTATATAATTTTGAATTGGTTTTCATTAATATGTTGGTAAAGTAGTTTTCTAGACAGTTTATCGAGGGTAATACTATTTTTATTAATTTATTCGATATTATTAAATGAAAAAAGTTTTTGAAAAATATAATAATAAATTATTCGGACATTGATATTATAAAAATTTTGCGTGAATATTCTTTTTAATTATTATTTTAAAAAATAAACATTCTATGATAAGAGCGATTTCTTATTTGCAACTTAGAAAGCAATAATAATAATTTTAATAATAATAATGGAAAACAATTGAATGATTGTCCTAACAGTTTTTATTACGAGAATATCTTAAATTGTTATTGATATTCATTGTATTATTAAATTGTTATATTGTCATTGTTATATTGAAATAATCTACTTATCATTAAATTAATTATTTTTATAAGAAGTGATTTTAATTTATAAGATTCTATTTGTTGGGTGTATGAAATATTTATTTTGTTTAAAATTTTTTAATTGATTTAACTAATAATAATAAAGAGAACGAAAATAATTTAGGTACATTAAATAAATATCATTTTTTGATTTAATTAAAATGTTTTGCCTTGTTATAAAATTTATTAATTTTTTTATTATAGTGCAATGGCTCCAGCAGCTCGTGTCTCTGTTGAAGATGCTGTCGCTGTTATTGAAGAATATATAGAAAATTTTAGGGAAGGAAAATATCCTAAATGGTCATCAGATGTTTGGGAAAAAATGAGCAATGCATTAAATAATAAATGGTCAGCTACAAATATTTATACTAATGTCACACAAAACCGAAGGAATATTATGAGCATCGCATGTACTAATGTCGGTATTAAATTTATCCCATTTATGTCAAAAAAAAAAATAGAAATTTATGATACATCAGATGATTCAATAAATGAAAATAATTCAGATGACGCAGATGAAACATATGAGCTTGAGCATGAAGCAAAGAATTTAGACAAATTCGAAGTAAAATTAACGTGTAATGAATGGAAAGCAATACAGTCTTCAGATGTGAAATATAATGATGGTCGTAATTATTCTATTTTACGCCGAGGTGTTTGGACTGATATACTGGCTTTAGCTATATTTCGAGATACGGAGCTTCCGTGTGCATTTCAATTTAAAAATATGAAAATTTATAATAAACCTGAGAGCTTACATTATTTACGAGTAAAAGGTTACTGTAAAAGTGAAAGTTGTAAAAATTTAATATTTTGTTATTTACATGAAAAACCTCTTGATGAAACTGACGTCATTCTTACCATAAGAACACGAGAAACTTTTTATAATCAACATGAAGAAGTAAAGCGTCAGCTCAGGGGTGAGAAACGACAACGAGTTGGGAAAGAAGTTTATTATGAAGGTGCTGCAAATTGGTTGAAACGGGAAGCTCTCGAGAACATAAAGTCTAGAGGTCGAATACCACCTCATGTTCCGAGTAAAGAAGTAATAACACAAGCTAAAAAGGAGTATGTTGATGCTAAACTTGATATTAAACCATTAGATGGAAAAGATTTAATAAAGGCGATTGAAAATATGAATCATGTTATGCCGTATCAAGGTTCTATCCATGAAGTTAAGCGAAAAAAATTATTTATTTCCTTCAGTACCCCAGCACAAATTCTTGCATACAAAAAGTATTGTAAAATGACAAAAAGTATTTCATCCGTCTCTATTGATGGTACTGGAAGTATTGCTAAGCCATTAGTTCATGAAGATGGAAGTTCATCTGGACATATCTTTTTATACTCAATGACAATTAATTTTAAAAATGAAACTTTATCAGTTTATGACATGTTCACTGAAAGTCAAGATACTGATGTGATATGGTGGTGGCTAAAACAATGGTTAAAGCTTGCACCTATACCTAAGCAAGCTGTTTGTGATTGTTCTCGAGCAGTAATGAATGGGATTTCACTAGCATTTAATAATCAAACTGTTAAAACATATGTTGAAACTTGCTTCTTGTATGCCATCGGTGACGAAGAGTATAGTCGTCGAGAACCAATCCACACATATCTCAGATTAGATGTACCTCATTTTATGAATTCTATTCGAATCTGGACGTGTTTTAAATTCATGCGCATGGCATCTGTGCGACAGTTTTATATGTATTGCATTGCATTACTTATTGATTGTCAAACAATTAATAAATTTGAGAAAATTTTCCAGTTGATGTGTATCGTTGGACTAAATGAATTCCAAGATTCAGTTATACAAAAGACAAATTATTCTGTTTTGGAGGCTCGAAAAAATCTTGAGGAATTAATTAAAAATCGCAATTTGGATGCTAATTTAGAAGATAGTATTAATGTAGAAACAAAAAGTGAAGTAGACGTCAAAAAAATTGAAAATGATGAAGAAACTCCTGATGATGAAAACAATTGTAAAAATGAAAACGAAACTAAAAAAAGTAGCCGAATCAAAAATTTTATTAATAATTTACGGGATGATGCTTTATTTGCTAACTTTATTGGAGTAGAATTGAATCCTTTTTATTTTCCAGATTTTATTGATGAATTTATAAAATTAAAAGCCTACGAATTCCCGTTATGGACAGCTGTAGCTATTCCTTATATAGCTGAGCATGCACTGACAACCTTCGTTGAAGGACATTTTAATATAGTTAAACATCGTGTCTTGAAAAATCATTTATTGCCATTAAGATTAGATAAGCTTCTCAAACTCATTCTTAATTATTACCTGGGTAATGCTGCTGTTCTAACGTCAAATTTGAAAGCTTTTAATCAATATGATGGTCCATTTCCGAGTCCTCCGTCTAAAGGAAATAAATTTACAGTCAATCTACCATCTCAAGATATTAATACAGGACAGTCAATTAAAAAACAACAATGCGATTTTATTCAAGCTGACTCAAAAAATACGGATGACAATAAGGAAAATATTAATGTTAGGAACTTGGAAGAAAATAATAATAATAACAAAATTCCTACTAAAAAAGATGAGCTAAAAAATTGCGTAATTATAAATGACGATTCACGAAAAAAAGCAAATAAAGCAGGTGATAATACGAAATTTGAAAACTCAACAATAATGAAAGTGCAAGATAATAATCTCAGTGATCAGAAACAAAAACTAGAGTTAAGAAAACCAAAGGGCAAATATTTTAAAACAAATCCTCAAATCGAACAGCAAAATAGTGTAACCGGTAATGTCCAAAACTTAAAATTACTTTTAAACGGTAGCTCTGTTAAAATTACTATTTCTGTAAAGGGTTCACAGTACTTCGCTATCAATACTTGTGGTTTTGACTCAATTATTCAAATTTTATCCTCTAGTGCTATGGATGATCCATCAGTAAGGTACTGTTTTAACAACAACAGACTCATTACCATAATTAAGTATTCAGTACTAAGCGACGGCAGCTAAGCTAGCGAGCCTCATTACTGCTTACTGAATAAAACAATAACCACCTCCTTCGACAACACTTACACAACTAAGTAACTAATCTAAGACTCTTTTCTCCTAATAACTTTATTTAATAACTACAAATAAAATTTTCCTCGAAAAATAATAATAATAATAATAATAATAATAATAATAATAATAATAATAATAATAATATTTATCAGAAATTAACTAATCTAGATTACTGTTAATGCTATTTCTAACTCTACACTGAGGAAAATTAGTAAAAGAAATAACTAGAAAACTTTCTTATTTTGTTTCTCTTCTCTGTTTATTTTATATTTTGCCAAATTTTACAAAATATGTAAACACTACTTTAATCCAGAGAATTATATTTTACTATTATATTCGGATTTTTTTTATTCTTCAATCAGAAGCCTCGGTTCCAGTAGGCGACTCGGCCCCGGTACTCCCTCAGGGCGGGATTGGTCAGTGAAAACTGGATACCCTGAAAATTAAGAACGGAAACAGAATATCAAATTTTTTTTTATATAATAAGTAAAAGATTTTAAAATTCAAAAATTTCATAAACTTAACTTATCTGGCGAAGAGTAGCGGTTCAGAACGTAATCGGCAAGTGCTTGCCGCAACCTTTCCAATTTGGAAAGGTTGGGAGCGAAAAACTGCTGATGGGTTCTGGGGTCCTCCAACATTTTCCGGGAAAATTTTTGCGAAAATTTGGTGACCTCGGGACCCGCAGGTCCGAATAAAACCAGCCACTTCCCAACCAAATCCAACGCCTCGCCTGGGGTGAGCGAAGCCTGCATCCTACGCAGTAATTTGATGCCATGACGCAGGTCCTGAAAACACCAAAAGACCGTTAAGAAAAAAAAAAAAAAAAAATAAATAAAAGAAAAGAGTATATACAAAAAAAAATAATAATGAAAACACTCACCTGTTCACCAAATACCGCAGTCACGTACTGGAACCAGGTTCTGTTATTTTCAAAGTTTACATTGATGGGATACATCGTGTAACCACTAGCAAATTTAAATCTTCCTTTCTCTCACAACACGTCTTGCCGCTACTAACGCTCGAGCGAATCTGACGCTATCACTACGTTCCTACAATGCGTTCCTACAATACTTGATACCTTGCCGCGTTTTGAAACGCTTGCTCGACATTGTAACGAGCGGGAAAGATTTATGTCTAAACCATGCCAGATGACTAACCTTATTCACCATAAAAATCATAACACTTTTATAGCTATTGCACAACCGCAGATAAAACAGCAAACCTTATAAAGAACTATAGATTAATTAAAACCTAGCAACTGCGATGATGGATAACAAAAAAATCTTTAACACATAACATTTTATACAAAAGATAGATATAACAAAAAATTTTTCTGTCTATATATAATAAGACAATAACTATATAACCTTCTTCAGTTAAAGAGTCTTAATAAAATAATCATGTATCCCATATCTTAAGCATTATATTATAAAACCAGGGAAATAAATTTATATTCTTATAAATTAATTTTAATACATGTAACGGGTAAACACGTACTTAATATTTCAATAACAAAATTAATGTAATTCAAAATTATTCAAACGAAATTGTAAGCAAGCATGAACTTTTCGTCAAGATGAGACGCCCGAGTACGCGAAAAAAAAGATGCTGTTAGCACCCTTCCTTTCGGGGGGGATGCTGTTATATCCGGCGTGCCGTCTATAATACAGGGCCTCCCATTCCAGCCGAAAAGTGTAGCGCTTGCATATTTAAGGAACAACGACCTGGACTGCGCGACAACTCACTCGTGGCCGAAGAATACACATTACCGCGCATTGTCACCTCATCAAAGGAACCAATTGTTTAATTAGTAGCCCCACTTAATAAATCGCAACCGAGGTGATAAAAGACGCGAACACCATAATTCGACAGCTTCTTTACAAGGTAACAGTTCTGCCTTAAAGCCCGGGTGAGTCCTACACCCCGTTACGTGTAGGCAGACTTCAATTATTAAATTAATTAGTCACCTTTTCCCTAATTATTCATTTCGATTCCTTAACGGTATTTCTGAGTTCTGTGATTGTGATTCTTCGAGCCACGATTCGTTTTGACGATAATCGAGATTCCCGCAGTTCCAGTGACCTGGTCCCACTCTCAAATTATTATTTTCTTCTTCTGTCAATTTATAATCGGCGAACTTTTTTTTTTCAAAATTTTTTTTTTTAAATTTTTTTTTTGGAAAAAAATATAAAAAAATTCTTTAAAGCTATCTTCATTGTTATTTTTAAAATTTTTAGAAAAAACTCCGAATTTTTTTATGAATACCATTTTTAGTTTCTTTTTTCTTTTTCTCATTCTAAACTTTGACATTTTTTTACAGATATCATGAAATTTCCAGAGAGGTGTTTTTTCGATTTCTATTTTTTCTTTTCAATTAAAAAAAAAAAAAATTTTTTTTTTTTGTCGTATTTTTCATAACACCGGTCCAAAAATTTCCGGGAATTCTCAAAAAAAAAGTAAAAAGTATAGAACCATCATTTTAATATGTTAATCATCGAGAAAATCAATTTTTTTTAAATCAAAGAAGAAATTGAAAAACAATTGTTTTTTTTTATTTAATGCTTAATGAATGGTGGGCGTTGAAATGAACAGTTCTCCGATACTCTAAGTTTTATAATTAAACCGGTTTTGTCAAATGGTTTAATACATGACTATGATGTCTGAAATGCAATAATTCTTAAACTAATAAAGACATTTTCCTTAGCTAAGCAAAAAAATGTTCTTTAACAGTATTGTTTCTAATGATGGCACTTAATTAATTTTTTTTTTATGAGGAGGATTCATTGGTGGCGCAAACTATCGTTTCTCGACGACTTCTAGAGTAATTTAAAAATAGATTTGAGCCTTCACAAGGATGAATAATTTTAAAAGCAATTCTGAGAAGCTAAACTGGTTAATTTTTAGTTCTATATTTTTTGTTGTTTTTCAATTTCTTTTGTTTTAAGAAAAATTGATTTTCTCGATGATTAACATATTAAACTGATGGTTCTATACTTTTTACTTTTTTTTTTAGGATTCCCGTAAATTTTTGGACCGGTGTTATGAAAAATACGACAAAAGAAAAAAATTTTTTTTTTTAATTGAAAAGAAAAAATAGAAATCGGAAAAACACCTTTCTGGAAATTTCATTATATCTGTAAAAAATGTCAAAGTTTAGAATGAGGAAAAGAAAAAAGAAACTAAAAATGGTATTCATAAAAAAATTCGGATTTTTTTCTAAAAATTTCAAAAATAACGATGAAGATAGCTTTAAAGAATTTTTTTATATTTTTTTCCAAAAAGAACATTTAATAACAAAAATTTTGAAAAAAAAAACGTCCCGATAAGCCAATTTTTGAAAAAGTTATGGCAATTTAAAAATAAAAAAGCGGTTTTTTTGAAAAATTCTGAACTTTTTTTTGGTTGGGTAAAAAAATTTGAAAAAATTATGAGAGACGTTTTTGATAGGGTAGAAAAGGATGGTAAATTTTCAGTCAAATCAAAAAGGGTCAGGGTCAAAAGTGGTCGATTTAGCGTGGAATGCCTCCTATATATTAATTTGTTTATTGAATTTATTATCATTATTATTATTTATACTCGAAATTTTTAATATTATTGTTTATAATTTAAGAATTAATTTTACATTTGTTTCAGATATTTACAATGAATTATTTGTAATTCATTATTACCATTATTATTATTTGTATGTATCGCCGTAAATCATAGTTATAGTACCTGGTTTTATTATCATAGCCTTTACTCGCACGGGTGAAGTCCTGTATTATCGATCGCGAGCTAAAGGTTTATTAAATTTGGGAAAATGGCTAAAGAGGCCCTCATGGTCGAACACGAGGCCTCGAACGTTTTACGGTGACGTAGATTGAATAGACACGCGGTGACCCGCTTGGTGTGAGGAAGACACGTGGGACCTCCGCTATTGTAAGGAGTGTGGATTTGGTGCCTTGGGTTGAGTTTCCTTTTTCGGTGAGTACTCACAAGTTGAGCCATTTTGTTATCCGTACATCGCTGTCTCCTGGCTCAGATAATTCATTTTTATTGTTTAATTAAATTCACTATCGATTAATCGGGTCGATCCCGTAGCGAGTAAGGGTTATTATTGGGAATATTTGTACCTGTCCTGAAAGCCGCGTGTTGGGTCCTAGATACGGCCAGCAATTTTTAATTAAGACATTACGTCATAGTTCATTATTGCGATTACTATTTTTAGTTTGATTTACGAATGACGTTAGTTATCAAAGCAGTTATTGCTTAGCGTTATTTACAATTATTAATATTAAATATTTATTATTACTGCAAGTGCTATTTTCGAGCGCAGAACAAATTGAATAGCATTGAGTTTTAATCATTATTATAATTATTGTTTTCATTGTGACTATTATTATTCTCGAACGCAATATTATAAATTAAGTTAAAGAAAAAGTTGTATGTATTAATCAGAATTCCATAAACGATTTATTTTGTTATTAAGAAAAGATATTTAGTTTAAGTAACAACGTTTATAAATAAATAATTTATTTTTATTAATATTTAACGATTTAATAATAATTTATTTTATGTAAGTTAATTCCCGGAATCTTTTCCTGCGATTTACATTCCTATTTAATTAAGTAATTTGAGGTACTATTTATAATTAATTGTTTAGTATTGCTGATTATAAATTATATATTAATCCTGACTGTAAGTGTTTCGTGATTTATTTTCCATTCGCATTAATTTAGATCTTTAATTGATCGTCCGGCGAGGCCCCTGGCATTTTTATTAATTTTGGTAATTTTTAATAATAAAATTACCTGGCGTCCTTTTCGTGCACTGACCCAGCCTGAGGAGTTTAAGGTTCATTTTATTATTATTCAAAAAGGGCGAGCGTAAGAACTTTACCCAGCCGGTATCTCCGCCTCCGGTGGAAATTTATTTAAATTTTCGGGGACAGTTTTGTTACAAAGTGAATAGTGTAAGTTAAGACGTGTTTGCCCATAGGGCCATTTGATTGAATATAAACATAAAAACTCGAATCGAAATGTTCCATCATTTATAAATTAAGAAGTTATCCAACCTTCGTCTTTCAACCTTCAATCTCCAGTCAGCAGGAGGAAGCGAGAAGCCAAGCAGCGGAATTCAAAGGTACGAGTCCAATCAAAGGCCGAATCATCGTTGGAATTAGGATTCGCAATAGTAAGTGGAGGATATTTTATTATTTCCGAGGTCGATTGTCTTATTCAAGGGGCCCTCTCCGGGGTTTTCACCTTCACGAACCCATAAAATATAAACTTAACGATTCTTTTGTTAGGGAAATTCATCTGTTATCCGAACCTCCGTTAATCCAGCTACCGCATTTTTAGATCTTGTTTTTCGGATATAACATCACTAACCAACGACGCAAAAAGTTTGGAATCAATTTTTTTTTCTTTTTATTGAATACAAAGTTATTTGAATTTAAAATGAAAGAAGATAACCTAAAATTATATTCCTCCAATCAATATCAGCTATTTTTAATTTAAAATTTATATTCTATTAATTTGAAAAAATTTCCTTGATTTGAAATAGTTCAATTACTCAGCCTAAGATTATAAAATTGAAGACAAAAATTTTCTTGGCCTAAGTCAATCGTTTTATCTGTGTAGTATACTTTTTCTGTAAGCATGGAACTGTCAGGGAATATCTGTTGGACCTTTCATATACATTTTAATGTTTGTCATAAAAACTGTCTCATGAGAATGATTTAATAGTAACGAGAGATTTCTTGTTCTGTAGTTTTTCGTTTCTAAAATTGAAACTCAAATGAATATATGTCACTGATTGATCAAACAAATAGTGGAAATTATTTACTAGCAAAGGAGAGAAATACGAAGAAAATTGATAAATTTTTTGTACATTTGTTCGTGGCCGAGCGTGATTTGCAACTACTACCGTAGCCCATGAATAGAAATCAGCTAATATGTAGTAAACACTGGACAGATTTTTTAATTCCATGTAAAATAATTCTATAATCACCGCGAAGTACGGACAGTTTGTTCGAAAACAGAAATCAGAAATTTGTTTATGTTCGTTGTCGATATTCATATTTGAATAATTCTCGTTTGTGTAGTGATTAGCATTTTTACAATAAATGGTTTCGTAAGAAAATCCATCCATGTATCGATTATATACTACGTATGTTGGAGTATGATCAATATCTTTTTTTTTCCATTGTAATACTATATTATCTCTAGCATTAAATCCTAATTTTATATTGAATAACTCATTGATTGTATCTATAATGTCAACTAAATACTTTTCCGTTATTTTTAACTCAAAATATAGCGAAAATTCATCGTACCGTATGTGAGTTATAATTGAAGAAGACATTATTAGAAATAATTGTAAATAAAATTATTGGTGATTGTTATCTAAATAAAGATTCAAAATTTGAGAAAAATTTTTTCTAAGCTCTTGAAATCACAGGTTTGCTAATCCTTTTACATTCCAAATAGTAGTCAATTTGGAGTGGTTTTTTTATAGTAAGCGTGACAACAGTTTGAGATATTGTGTCCCCATTCGTAACCCTCTCCTGTGGCGTACATGCGTAAGAACTCTATTCTGACTGTATTATCCTTGTTTCTAAGTTTTTTTGCTTCTACACGAAATTGAGAAGCCACATGTTCTTCATTAGCGTTATTTATAATCACAGAATGTTATGGTTCCGTGATATTTTATAAAGAAATATTCAATAAGTTCGGTACTTTGAGAAATCTACAGATTTCTGAAATCAAGTTATTTCAGAAGTCACGGAAATTTTCTTTAATATAGAAATGGTTTCAAAATTCATCACTATTGTAACGTGGTAAATTTTTTATTCGACGCCCAATACTTAGGGTATTATAGCCTTCCAGGCTCGAATCCATCGTCGCGAATGTTATGTGTGAGTGAATAAAAATATTACTAATTTGTAATGAATTTATTTTGTAAAAATACGCAACGCTAAACGAGTGACGGAGATGGAAAGAGTATCAGCAAGTACGAGGCTACGAAGTGGAGCGACAAGGATAGAGCTACGACGATAACAAGCGAGTACCAAAGCGAGTGAGGCACCGAGCGGCGTAAACACCCGAGAGATCTGAGTACGATCGACACTGCAGTGCTGCATTTTTCCAATACGAAGATCGCCATCGATGATAGTTGGTTAGTCAGTACTGCAGGAGCAGAGGTGACTCAAAACTGTTGTGTAGGTCCGTTGACTGCTATACGGACCTAGCTCAACTATCGACTGGGATCAATTCCAATGGAAATGACGATTAGCACCGCCAATTTCAACGAAGAAAGAAGCGGGTACTTCTCTGTGAAGAAGACGATTCGAGGCTGGACTGTCGATGGATACGGACGCGCTTTTGCGCGTTCCGCAACATAAATTTAATTTCGAAGTATTGTCGCGATTTTGTTTACTTGAACGTAATTTGTAACTTGTAGTAAAGTATTTATATTTTTAAATCATTTATTTATCGAGTCAACCGCACGAAGCTTTTCTGAGCTGCTACGATAAGGACGACGCTCAATTGCTTGGTAAGCCGACGTTCTTGTTTAGTGTTGAATCCAGCGTTTAGAGTCCACGTTGTAATTTTGTAAAATATTGTCATTAACAAAATAATCCGCGAGGATTCAGCGCTGTACGATTATTTTCTTTGTAATGCTGATATTAATTAGTGTGATTGCCGATGTATGAATGCGAGTGTGAGAAATGAAATGAAGGTAACGATGTTTTTTTGGAACGAAGTTCCTTATCGCGCGTTGTGAAAGGGGGCTAGACGGAAAAAATTCTCACGAAAAGTTGTAACGACACTTTTTGCTATAGTAAGCTATTGTAAGCCGTGCGACGTGCGCATGTTTCTCTGTCTGTCTGTCTTTCTCTCTTATAGAAAGCAAGCCAGATATTTTCAGTTCGTCTTTCTATTTCGCATTAAACAGTGTGGTGTCGCGACGATTATTTTTAATTATTAAAATTAATAGATATTCAGAAGTTAATTCATCGAGCACTGCTAGAGTATTTTAAAGATATATCTCGAACGCTTAGCAGATACAACAAAAATTTAGATAAACTTCCACTCATTTTAGCCGGTGATTTAATTATCAATTTCAGTAATGAAAAATCAAAAGCATTGTGACAGTTTCTAGAGGAAGAATTTGATTTAAGAATAAACAATAATCCAACAGAATCAACAACAAAATATAGTATCACCATTGATGCAGTTTTTTCAAGACATTTTAATCAAGTAGAATCCCAAACATATGTTTCCTACTTCAGTTACCACAAGTCAATTATAACTAAAATTGAGCCTACTTAAGTTTATATTACACTAGCTGTCACCCGCCCGCTCCGCTGGGCATTTTATAGAATTGTATTTTGAGATCTAGACTTGAAATTCAATTGGAGTATTGTTTTGACTTGCACAGATTCCAAATTCTATCGGATTGGCCTGTACCTTTTATCCATGTCATCATTCTAGCGAATATCCATTGTAATTTTCAATATGCAATCACTATAACATTCTCGTGGCTTTCTCCAAAAATAAATAATAATTTTTGGATTTACGATTTTAATTTTTGATTTTACGAAATCTCTTAAAATGAGTAGCCAAATTTCTTTTCCACATCTCAAGTGTTTAGAAAATGTATTAATTTTAATTTGTTACATTCCCGTGATCCCGTAATAAGAACAATTCATCGGTTATGTGATCAGCAAAAATAAAATATATGCAAAATACTCAGTCCGTTGACTATATAGCTACATGTAAAGTTAAATTTTAGAAATCTTACAATGACTTTTTCGCCGCTGCCAAAGAGACGATTGTTGTAAAAAAAGTATAATTATTAAAATAGGAAAATATTTTAATCCGTTGACCTTGGCGGTCATGCCTATAATTACCTGTTTCTCTTGAGATTCTATGAAATTTTATATCTGTAGAAAATATATTTGAAGAATATAAATTTTTTGACAACTATCACTCCCGCACTCCTTTGTAAGAGAGAAATTTCGTAAGATCCTATTTGAAATGATTTTTACATTATAAATAAAATATTCCAACAAAACTTCGAGCTCATAGAAACTATTGTTTTGAAAAGAGAGATTTTCATTGTTAACTCCTCCACAGTCCCTTTTGGGGTTGGAATTTTATGAAATTCATCCTTAGCTGAACTTGACATGATAAACGAAGACTCCCACCAAATTTAAAGTCTGTCAAAGTTACAGTTTGGAAATGAAAATTTTAGATTTTAACACCCACCGACGCCATTCCTATCGGAAATAAACTTCATTAAAATCCATTTTGAGATGATATTTACAGGAGGAATAAAAAATTTTACCAAATTTAGAGTTTTCAGAAGCTATATTTTGGAAATGAACATTTTTTATTGTCAACACCCACTCCCGCGATCCTTATTGGAAGTGATTCGTTGTAAAATCCGTTCTTAGATCATTTCTATATCACATATAGAAGATTCCTACTAAATTTGAAATCTATAGGAGCTATAGCTTGGAAATTAAAAATTTTCATTGTTAATACCCACCCCCGCAAACCCCTGTGAGGTGAGCTATCGTAAAATTCGTTCCTATATTATTTCTACATCTCTGACAGAAAATTCCTACCCAATTTGGAGTCTATTGGAGCTATAGTTTGGAAGCGGAAATATTTTATTATTAGCACCCCCGCAATCCTTTTTGAGGTAGGATATCGTAAAATTCGTTATTAAATTATTTTTACATCACGTACAGAAATTTCCTATAAAGTTTAAAATCTGTAGGAGCTATAGCTTGAAAATTAAAAATTTTCATTGTTAATACCCACCCCCGCAACCCCCTGTGGGGAGGGATATCGTAAAATTCGTTCATAAATTATTTTACATCACTTACAGAAAAATCATACAAAATTATGAGTCTGTCGGAGCTATAGCTCGGAAATTTAAAATTTTCATCGTTAACGCCCACCCCCGCAATCCATATTGGGGGTAGGCTGTCATTGAATCCGCTCTTGAATCATTTCTACATCCCATAAAACAGATTCTTACCAAATTTGTAGCCGATAGGAGCTACAGCTCGGAAATTTAAAAATTTAATTGTTAACACCCACCCCCGCAACCCTCTGTGGGGAGAGATATCGTAAAATTCGTTCATAAATTATTTTTACATCACTTACATAAAATTCATACAAAATTAGGAGTCTATAGGAGCTAGAAGTCAGAAATTTTTAATTTTCATTGTTAACGTCCACCCCTGCAATCCATATTGGGAGTAGATTGTCATAAAATCCGCACTTAGATCATTTTTACATCACATATAGGAGATTCCTACCAAATTTGAAGTCGATAGGAGCTATAGGTTAAAAATGGGAATTTTCCATTGTTAACGCCCCCGCAACCCCCCCTTGTGGGTGGAATTTCGTAAAATCCGTTCTTAGCTGACCTCTACTCAGCGAAAGGAATATTCCTGCCAAATTTTAAGTCACTACGCCTTATGGTTCCAGAGATATCATGATTAGTCAATATATAGGTGGGAAATCTCTTATATATATAGGTCATTCTCAGTTAAGACGTAAATTCGACGTCCACGGTGAAAAATCATCTTTTTAAAAAAAATTTATTAGAAAAAAATGTAATTCTCTTATAACTCGTGCTCATGTAAGTGGTCACTCAAATTCATTTCTTAATTTTATTTAATTTAGTCACAATTTCATCTCAAAGTCCGAAAACATCTTTCCTCTGGCTTGTCCTTGGGCTGATTCTGTTTATGTATTAGTAATTTAAAGTACTTAGAAATCAAATAGATTATTTAAATTATATATTTCAACAAAATAAATTAAATAATTTCTCGTAATCAAGAGAGTAAAATTTCATGATATTTTTTATTTCTTAAAAAAAATTACGTTTAAGTTTGTCCCCCACATTTTGCGTCTCGTCCCCTGGCATGGTTATTTTGATGTAAAATCGGCATTTGTTTACCGATCTGCGGAAATTGAAGACCTTAAACAAACGTCGTTGAGCTTATACTTTGTAGTCAGTACCAGTCGAACTAGGTGCGCAGTCATTTTGTTATTTATGTCATTACTGACACTCATTGGATACAATTGAGAACGAGTAAATGGAGTCTCTCCCCTAGTAAATTTTGTTCTAAAAATATTTATCTAAAAATTTTAATTCATCTGTATATTTACTTCTTGTTGTGTATAGATAATAAGTATTCTTGGTTAATCGCGTACAATAAAGACATTTGTCATTACTTCTGTTTTTACATTTTACTAAAATGTATCTCCCCTGTCTGTATTTCCCCAGTCTTCTAAAGGCCAGGGCAAAGACATAACATCCAGGCGAGATATGAAAAC